ACTCAGTAGGTATATTGCAGATAAAGTGTTCACGCAGGGAGCTTAATCATGATCAAGATGGCGGATTAGGTTAAACAGAGGTTAATGATTGGTCACTGTTTGTACGATCGCTGCACACAGAGTTATACGGCGCACCTCCCAATCCTGGCGAACTGCACACAAAGTTGTACGGCCGCACCTCCCAATCCTGGCATCTCCCAATCCTGGCGTGCAGGTATGCGATGACGTGTCCCGCACACTCATCGGTAATGCTGATTTAATGATCGTGCGGAGTTAGGGTGTATTCGAAGGGGGGGGGGGGATTTAGGGTTAGTGAGAAAAGCCAAACAGGAAGCTTTGTGGCTTAACATAGTTTATTAGTCAAGAGGTCTCAATTTAGGCTATCGGACCCGTAGGTCAGCATATGAGCACTACGTGCGGTGCCTGTGTTTGACCTAGTTTTTACTAACTACGGTAATTATGTGTCCTTGTGCTGATAGTGCAGAGTACTTCCTGTAAGCTCACAGGCATTATGAGTGTAAATGTAAATCTAATTTTTCTAAATGTACTTATCGTTTTAAAGAGCTCTTCGAATTTCCCTCTCATTACACACTTAGTGAAAACTATCTCTTTATCCGAACAGCCATAATCTTCAATGTCTGCCTTATTTTCATTATCTGTTTGCTACGTATTCGTTTTTTCGCTCTCAATAATAATAAAATAAATAGATATAATTATAATTGTAATAATAAGAAGTTTCGTTAGCCTTTTAATGGTTCATTTTTATTATTTTGAGATGGTTCACAATATAAATGATTGCCAGCTGAGTTATTACTGTTAAGTAGTTTTAAATTTACTTTTATTTCTTCCTCTTCTAATCCTACTTTCTCGTTTTAAATATTTAAGGGTACACTATCTTCGGATAAGAATGAAATACTCTTCTCGGAATTCCAAATCAACTATAACAATGAACCGCAACTTTTTCGAAAGGGGACATTAATTTTCCGGAAAAAGGTTGGTCTCCTTGTTTAAGTTAACGATAAAGTACCCACATCATTTCCATTCAATTTTACAAAACTGTTAGCAAGTATAGGGTTTTCTTGTACTCTTGTAATGGTTATTAATATAATCCATCCGAATTAATTGTTATCAACAAAACGATATAGTTTTACTTCCCGAACATCCGATGAATTGAATTATTTGTCTTTTGGGGTCACGCATACAAAGAAAATTTATTGTGGTGCTAAACATTGATAATTGAATTCCAAAACGTTTTAGGGGACTTTTTAATCGACGCTCACCTTGTGCAGTTTGATAAAAAAGTGGCTTTTTCATTTTCTTATTCATTAGCTGTAAACATTTTACTCTTTCAGTCAATTCGTTAAATGAGTACTCTTTAACATCAAGTCTATACTTCTTGATTATTCAGAAATCGTGTCGTGGTGACCCTTTGTTATCTTTTGGTAAGCAGTAACTAAAGTAATGATTTAATTAGGTTGAATACGGCTACTTAATGCACGAAAATGCTAATTTTACGCCAAAGTATCATATTTTTGTCAGTGAGAGAGAATTTATCATACAATTTAATGTGATCGTATTTTTTATGACGTAAGATCTTTTTTTAGTCGAAATAAAATCAATTCCTTATGTATCTTCCGTCTGCCATTGGTTGCCTATTAATTAATTTTCATTTCCCTTATTTAGGCCAACAAACTGTCCGTAGAAGAAGTGAATTGTGATATCATTAAAGACGATTTTTGGAATGAACATCCTCATCTCTTGGAGTCAGACTGAGTTGTAAATTGTAGATAGATTAACGACAATCGTGGCCATATCGTTTTTCTACTTTTTTACAGTGAAAATACATTACATTTCGTATAAATAATCCATTTTTTATTTAGCGACGAAACCCTAGATTCGTTTGTAAACAGTGTAGTAATTTAGAATGATATATTTAAGTCGTCGGATTTGAGAAATGAAATAAGATTGATACAGTGTCAATCTCAATTACTCCTTTTTAATGCACGGATGCCCTGGGGCTATGAAACTTTTTATTACTCATGTAAACTAACTACAGTAGTGTGCCATTTTAGTTGATTATAATTTGAGTTTCTTTAAAACCTATGACAAACTTGTCTTTAGAGAAACAAAAAAGGCAGAGATCACTTACTAACAGCATTTTATTCTTGGCGGTTTATTTAGGAGGCTTCTTCGCTCTGTGCAAGTGTTACTTTGCCGTTTTGGGCGATATTTGCCTGTATATTGCAAATTTTATGTCCAGAATGCAAGAGAAATACTAGTGTTACCGATGCAATACTTATTAAAATCCCTTGGTAAATCAAATAACCTCTGTGGAAAGCATCTTTAATATGGCAGGCTATTTTGTGGCATTGAAGTGTATTTATGAGCTACCGAGTAATTTATTGTTACGTAGGACTTCCAAATCAATCGCTGGTGCTATGGTACTCGTTTTATATTTTATATCTAAAATTATAAATACGCTTTGCAGAGTCTACATCGCAATTGGTTTTTTTGCTAAATTGCTTTGTCGATTCATCACAAAATTCATAAATAAAAAATGTAGACCTTTACTTCATCTTTAAATCCTGTACTTATTACGCCAGAACCATATTACCTTTTCTAATTGAACTTGACTTCACTATTCGGGTTGGGCTTTTGTTCTACTGGTTACAAGACTATCAATTTAATGAGTCCATAAAGATATGATTTGGGAGACCCAATTACAGATAGGCGGAGAAGACGGCATTACACTGTGTGGCTAAGGTAAGAGATAAGACACTGAAATTGATATTGAACGTTTAATGGGGTCTTATGATGATATGTATTCCTGCCTTTAAATAAAATATTACATTATTTTATTAATTTAGTCTTGGCATCCTGTCAAAGATGTTGCTGTCCTCCGGTGATTAAAAAACTTTACAATTTACAAATGCGGAAGACTCACTAATAGCCTTCGATGATAACTTATGACAATTTTGCCAAAGTGGCAGTAACAAACATCCTTACCTATTTCTTTCAAATTACCGCAAACAAATTTGCGGACAAGGAATAATATTTATGATTTACTTTTCATTCTAGAATTACTGAGTATTGTAAATCATAATATATGCCTTAGTTGGATATATTTGACACGATTAAGCCTAACTTTGATTTTTAAAAATTTTTATTCCTTTTATGCAATAAGCCGGTAGGGTTATTGCCTAATTTTCCATTTTTGATAGGTTCCATCCAGTTTAATATCTTACGATGAATAGAAAAGTTCAAAAGTTCACTAGTCACATTGGTCATGGTTGAAGAGGGATGATGTCTGATAATTCGTGTGATAATCTTTTAGAAGAATTAATTACTCACAGTATTTTGTAAGTTAAATTTGATAAAAGTTGAGTTGACTATTTTTAAGTGTAAAAAATGAAGCTTATCACCACCAAAAAATTTTCAACCCAAGGCAAGGACTTCCATAAAAAGGACATTGCATTCTGACTATCTATTCCATTGCAATGAAAGATTTCTCACAATCTGATCATGAGTTCTAGCGCTATCAGAGATTTTAAGGTCAGCATCTCACGTATATATTAATTATGTAGTTGGGTACTAACGGAGTAAGTAGTTTTAATTTCACAGATTTGAAAAACGCTATTTGGATTTTAAACGAGCCTTTCATACGTTATAATGATATTCATACTGCGTTTAGAAATCGCACATTCCTCATCATTCATCTTACAAAACACTAGTAATTCAGATTGTAAATTATAAGTATGATGCAATTTGAAATTAAATTTTTGAATTCAGTGAGGCCAGAAGCGCAGAAGAAACTCTTAAAGTGTCAGTTAACCTACTTTCCGAGAGTACATTCTATCAATTTGCATATGAATTAGAGCGTTTTAAAAGCACGCAATGTAATAGTGACCTTATTTCTGTTCTAACACATTAGGCAGGAATATCATGTCAAGTGTTATACAAAATGAATTATTCAGATACTCATGTATGCAAAGGTAGCTGTGAAAGAAAAAATAGGTAGCATACTATGAAAAAGATCCATTGGATTAGAGTCAAATATAAAGTTTTCCCATAGTTGTTGAAAGAAAAATTTAATGTTTTTGAAAGAGTTAATACACCTTCTAATTGCTTCATTCAAAGTATAATACAAAAAGTAGGCTTTTGGATTGGGGATTATACTAAATGCAGTAGTTTTAATGGTACCAAGAAAAGCATGATTGACGAAACTTTACAATTCCAAAAGATCGATTCTTGTTCGGGGTTCTAATTATGGTTTCATTATTTACAATATTTTCCGGTAGAAAATTCGATCGGTTAAGGAACAACATATAGGGCAAAAAATATATCTTTAATCAGATTGCCAGTGTGTGTTCCGACAAAATTATACGTAAATTTATTCGATAAAAATGGCCGGTAAGTGGTATCAAATTGACAATTTTAATAAAACTTTACAATCCAGAACAGTAGTTTGTAAATAAGGCCCCAATTTTGCTATTCAAAGCGATGAAAATTTATGTAATGACATATGCTAACATTGAATATAATGAAGAGATACATTTTAAATAATAGTTTTGCAGACATATTTAAACCAATCACTTTGTTTCAAAAATGTTATTTCAATTGAAAATTAACTTATCGAGTACAATTTTTTAATGATAACTTGTAGCAAATCCAAATAAAAGTTCTTAATAAGTTAAATCGTTCTAGTAAAATTTTATTGGCAAATTTTGGCAATTATCATTTATAAAATAATATATTTCGAGTTTTCCGCAATCGAGGTACATATTTGAGACCTTGAATGATATAGAGCTAACCTTGACTGATTTGACCCAAATACGCAAATATTGTGTGCTTCATTTCATTCTTATATAAACATACCAATAATTGGTTAATGGTTCTTGAATTTATAAATAGCCTTCAGTTCTTTATGATTATTTAAAACTCATTGAAACTTCTGCTTGCTATACTATTTTCTATATCTCTCATTTGTTGATCATTGTAGAATGAGTCTCTCTACCGTTCTAAAAGGCAGTAGATATTTGCGTTGCATTTATGCAAACTCCATTCTTAACTCCTCGGTCATCCTCCCTACTTCTAATTTTCAAGTACCACGTCAAATTTCTACATACAAATTTCCAGACAGTGACCGAGCAGTAAAATCTCGTCTAACCGGGAAATATACTAAAATTTGGGAACTCTACAACGAGGTGGTTTACCCTCCTCGTGAAACATCGAAATCTGTAACAGAAGATGAAAATATAACAACGATTCGGCCGGCGGAAGTTACCTACACAAAAGATAATATTTTGTACAGTCAAAAGAAGCTTTGGTTGCTTGGCTTCATGGTAGGCCTATACTTCGTAAATTTCAGCTTTTAGATTCGCGGACTTTCTGTTGATGAGTCTTTCCAGCAACTTGGCTTTCGACCGGAAAAAGGTGCCCGAATTCTCGAACAAGTATTGGTTCATTTCAAAATCTAGAATGCTTCGATTCATTAGAAATTATTGCTTATGAAATTTTGTATATTTAATTTTATAGGCACTTGAGACTGCAGTTAAGAAGGCTATTACCGAACATGATGTTGAATTTTGCACAAATCTGTGGGTTGGTAAGTTTGAAGCCTTATGATCTTAAATATTTGTTTGTTCGGCGTTAGTAACTTAAGAGAAGAGTAACCTAAAACAGTAAAGTCAATGCACTGTTTTAAATATAATTGATATTCACAACTGACCTTCCTACGGGTTTTATTTATTTTTATAGAAACTATAGTTTGATCAAGACCATTATTTTTTCCTAAGATTTAAGTTTAGATTGCTAAAGAGCGAGCTGTTATGTTCAACAGGCCGATTTTTTGTTAGTTTTTTTATTTACCAGTTAGATATTTGGAAGCGTGAGTAATGAGTCTCTTTTTTTCCTCAAATGTCTGTTTTTTGAAGTGTCTCTTGGTTAATGTGTTTTTTTTTAACTCAGGTAAACGTTGGCCCCTTCAAAAGTTGATTTTAGATTCATTTAGTCCAATACAGTCCTCCAACATTTTGAAACACCTTTGAAAGGTGTGTCTCATTTTGTTACCTTACGGAGCATATTGATTGTAGAGTATTTGGTGATTTTCTGTAATCTGCTCTCATGTAATTTTTAGTGATCAGGAGAACAAATTTAAAGATTTTAGTCCCTAAAGTGGATTCTCATAATTAAAATCCGATACTGCTCTTCAGCGTTTAGCTGACTTCAACAAGTTTGTCTATCTCCCTTCTGACCAGTCAGCAGATAATATTGATTAAAGTAATAGGATCAAGTGGTTGTCTTGGATATCTGTTGTCCATAGTTACGAAAACATTGGTGAAGTGTTTCGATTTTCTTCTAATCACTATAGGGAACATATGGCTTGGTCCTGATTTGATCAATTTTTCTTTTACGTAACCGAACTCCTAATATTTGTAATGTCAGTGTCCATTACAATATCTGTTTAGCATAAATTTAGGATTGTAACGTAAACATTTACTGTTTATCAAATTTCATATTCAGCCCCATGTGATCTGACCAGGAGTATAGTTTTGATTTTTAGAGAGGTATTAGTCGTTTTGCTATCCATTCTGTATTTAGAATCTAATTCTTTGGACCCAATCGATTGGAATGTTTATTTAAACAGTCGGTTATATCATTCTTAAAATAAGCAAAAATCATCATGAGTCCACCGTTAGCAATTACCACTTCCTTCCAAGTAGCTGGATTATTTATTTATATCAAATGTCAGGCGTTTTGATAGTTATCATTAGCCCTGGAGCTGACTTCGGTGCTTCACAGAGAGGAGAAGGGACATCAAAGTGACAAAAAGTCGAGATGGGAGACAGAATAATGATTCACAGAGATAAAAGAGACAGACAGACATAAAGGCATAAAATATGTAAGATGAGTACGGTGGAAGGGGTCGAATATGACAAATAGTTGGGCCATAGTAGTTGAAGTCAGAAGTCAACTGCCGATCAATAGACTTTTTTGCCGTATAAGTATACGTTGCCCAGGTTGCACCACGTGGAGGTAAGTCTATTATAAGTATATGTCATTACAGCCGGTGCAACGTCTTATAACCCCCATCAGTAGTAATGCTATTTTTCTTTTAGAGCAAGCTCTTGTCCTGAGAGGTGATAGTGTGCCGCGAATCCACAAAGGCCTGCGGACAACTGTCTCGGCGAAGAATTATCATTACTCTCGTTTGTTGATTCGTCTTCGAGAAGGCAAGCCTCCAGTTCTCTATCATCCTTTCAATCTTCGCTCCTCGTGGCATCCAGCTCCTAATTGTCCTGCTGGTGGTGCACCAGGCTGGGGTACTAGTAAAGATATTCTTGACATTCAGATTAGAAAACTCCGACGTAGGCGCATTGCTGGTGAACTGTAAATTAGCTCTTCCCCATTAACTTCTTGTGTGTAATAAATCGCTCCTTTCCGCACTTGTCCGTTTAATGTGGTTTCAAATAGGCAGTGGCTTAAGTAATGTGCCGCGTCTAGTAGCGATACCATTATTTTTCTTAGGTTCGTAGATAATTATATGCTCTCTGTGGTGGTGTTTAGTACAACCTCATTTTTTCAAATTCTTTAAGTTTATTTTAATGGCTCACAGTTAAACAACGGCATTAATATCCAGCTCCGAAAGCGCCATTGTTTTCCAGCAAATTGGGTTACACTAAATAGTCAATTTGCTTAATTGTTCGATGTATTTACAGTATTCTTTTAGGCAGCTTCCATCCGTTTTGAGATATTTTAGACGTAATTGAGTTTATATGGTTACAGCAATCAATGGTTGTTTATTAAAATGTAGCCCTGTTAAATTCTTTTCCTACATCAGGCTCCCTATTGTCGACCTATCTTTGTCATGCGTTCATTCCTTTTCTCTAAATCGTTTAACTGCACTAGAAAGTTTGCTCCTAATTTGAATGCGTTTACAAGGTCAACTACGGTGCTGTTATTTACCACACTATCGAATGCCTATAGCACTATGGCGATATTCTTGATAGTTTGCTTTTATAGTCAAAGACCTTAATAAATTAGTAAAAATCAAACCATTTATTCAAATTACAAAACCGTACACGTCTTTTGTCTTTAAACAGCAACGTATTTGCAGTCAAAGGTTTGGACCAATCGGAAAAAAATTGGCATATTTCAAATAGTAAATATCTCTACAGTGGTTTTCGTCTGCAAAACTTGTGCAAATCTTAGTTACTGTCATTTAAAAGAGGCTTGCAGGGTTCTTATGGTTTAGATTGAGAGTTTATTTTGGAGATTTTAAAATTGAATGAAACTTCATTAACTCTCGTTTCGAACAAAACTATAACACTGAGAAATAAGCATGTTAACATACTTATTTCAATCTTAACCAAGGCAGGGATTTTTTATCTGATTGGCAGGCATGCCGACCGCCATATCCAATTAGCAGACTCATTCTCCCTCAAAAGAGGAAGGTTAATGTGCTTACCTAGTATGGCAACAGTAATAGAAAATAATATTGTATTATTAATGGCATATCCAGATGGGAGTATTGAATTTCTAGTGCAATTTGAGATTTGCAGTTGGATTGGTTCACTCTCATATGATACTCCTTTGGCTTACTTTACTAGGAAGGGTCTATAATACCCATATCGGTTGTGGAATGAAGCCAACCTAAATAGTTTAGGCCTTGTGTGCTGGATGAAGTCATCGCACGTCTGAACCCCAGGATTGGGAGGTGCGACCGTACAAACAGTGACCAATCATTAACCTCTGTTTGTTTAACCTAATCCTCCATCCTGATCATGATTAAGCTTCCTGCGTGTACACTTTATTCGCAATATACGCACTGATTGAACGTGCCCCGTGCCACGCGTCTGTTTCCTTTATAGCTGGTCTATAGCTTAGCTGGTTCTGGGAGTATAGATAGATGTTGGTGAATCTGCCATAGAAATTTCCGAGTCAGTTAGGCTTTACTAAGTTAGTAATCCGCTACAAATAGTTTAGACCTTGTGTGGTAGATGAAGTAAGGTGTCGTAATGGATACACCACCACATCATTCAATGGTGCTGATTCGATATTCATACTTCAAGCTAATAAACTAAATATTCTTTTCTCTACATTATAGTAAAATGATCCTGCAAAAAAAGAGCAAATAATAAAGTAGGTGCAAATTCAAATAAATCTTGCGTGGAATTGTTAACTTTTTCTTAAAAAGTAAATACTAAAAGTTGCGAAAAATGCATCTATCCTCGACATTTTCTTAGTTCAATGTATTTTAGAAAACTTTAAGCGGTTGCATCGCAGTTTGCAAAGTAAATGGGAGAAATCAGCGAGGAAATTTGCTTTGATGAAGAAAAATTTATTTATTTATATCAAATGGCAGGCGTCTTGATGGTAATCATTAGCCCTTTAGTTGACTTCAGACTTCACAGAGGGGAAGGAACATCAAATTGAAAAAAAGTCGAGAGGGGGGGGGAATAGAAGAGACAAACACAAAGGTAGAACAAAGGTGAGGTGAGTACTGTGAAAATTGTCGAATATGGCATAGAGTGAGGTGATGGTAGTTTGAAGTGAGAAGTCGACTGCCTTGATGAAGAAAAATTAAATCCATGTATCTCGGCCCCCCCCCCCCTTTATTTGCCATATCCTACGTGATGACTGGAAAGGCGGTAGCAGAGATATCTCCCGCGACCTCTCCTGGCCCGAAGTTATGGGAAAGAAGGTGAGATGGGAGAAGTGACGAGAATATCTGGACTTATCATTATTGGAATATCCTCAATACAATTCATAACGACTGCCAATGTACTGAGCGCATTATAATTTTAACAACTCCTTAAAGACAAACAAAAGCACGTGTGCTCATTCGCTATAACAAAACCTCCTCATTCTTTGACAACCATATAACAATTTTCCCATTAAATAAAAATGTGATCCTAAGGCACGTGCACATTAGAAATCGTTAGCCTGTTGCTTACTATGATCCGGAGAGGCTAAACATTAGAGAAGCGCAGTTATCCCCAAGGCACAGCAGGAACAATGATTTCTTTGACAGACTAACTGTCAAGCAGTCAGAATAGGAGGGCGGTAGCAAACTCCCATCAGTGATAATGCACACAGGTATCATCTCGGGAAGTGCCCATCTTGAGACTTTGAGCTTCGTTTGTCGGTGACTCAGTTCCTTTTCATCTTAGACCAATGTCATCTCCACTAATTCTCTTCGACCACAAAGAAAACTTGCCCAACAAATGCACTTTTTCCTAACGAACATATTACTTACTTGCCTACAAGCCTCTTATATTCGGCCAATTTTCGACTTCTATGGTACTTAGAGGGCCTAACGATATGTGCGTGTGATAACTTCGTGCTCTGCTAAATCAAATCGCTCTCTCATTACGTGATGGTAAACGCATGGTTGGGAGAGAAGGACACGTAATCATTGTCCTCTACTCTCTGAATGTGGATAGGTGAAAGCAAATGTCACTGTAGACAACAGTTAATATTAAAACCCAAGACAAATCGAGACACTGTAAGACAACTTACTTAAATGGCATATTGAGGATACAAAGTAGACAATTTCAAGCAGAATTTTTACGTTTTGTTAACTTGAAGGGGGAACTCTGTCAAGATTTATGATTGGCCTTTGCATCTTTGATTTAGCTCTTAAACTTGGATTCAAACAGTCACATATTTGAAATAATTTGTATAAAAGTACACACTTGACAAAAAATAAGAAGAGTGGTTTCAAGGGCAATTTATAGTTTGTACGCAAACTGTAGGCCGTTTAGGCGTTGTGCGTTTACTGTTAATATCTAATGAAAGATAACAAATTCATGGGCTGAGTGAGCGCACACTTTCATTATTTGAAAATCCAGTTTGACTTACCCAACAATATTGAAAGTGATCCTCAACTGAATGAAACAATCGAAGTTACTTCAAAGGATCACCAAAATTTTCGAATTCGAATCCTTTACTTGCGCTTAAGTACTATAAAGAAAGCCACAATCTCGCTATTGGACTCTCGGTTTGAAAGCAATCTAGATGGAAACCGTTAATTTGAATCAATGTATTAAATAGCCAGTAGGGGCAATAGGGGTTTCTTGAAGGTTTTCGAAGTTTTAAATTTTGGTTAAAGGCGCGGTGTTGGATCATATCGGTGTCATTCAGGACTGTGTTCATTCTTAGACAGTTCTAAGTAAATTCTCGTAAGGTGAATTTCACTTTTTGTCCAATCATGTTCAAATTTCTGACACTGAGTTCCGAATAGCAGAAATTCCTCAGGCTTCACAGGAACAAAGCCAAGTTGCCAAAATTATCATTATTTGGAGTAACATAATCCATTTTATCTTCGTGAGGCCCCTTGCCGATGTCAGACATCTGGAGCATTTGCGGAATCCAGATGACTTTTGTCAAAAAAATCATAGAAAATAGAAGTTGTTTCCCTAAATTTGAAAGAATGTTAATTTTGTGCTTCTAGTGCTCTGCGATACCTTGTAGCGTCAGGGTCACCAATTTGTAGCGGATTTCTACGCTAGTAAAGCCTGGCTTAAATCTCAGAAATCTCTATGGCAGATTCTCCAACATCTAGCTACCGGCTCAGAAATTTCTATGGCAGATTCTCCAACATCTAGCTAGGAATCAGAAATCTCTATGGCAGATTCTCCAACCTCTAGCTAGAACAGAACCAGCTAAGCTATAGCCCAGCTATGAAAGGAAACACGAACCAGCTAAGCTATAGCCCAGCTATAAAGGAAACAGACCGAAACTAGCTAAGCTATAGCCCAGCTATAAAGGAAACAGACGATAATTCGGAACACGTATATTCAGTCACGTAATGATCAGAAAAGTGTGCACGGAGCACGTTTATTCAGGACGTATCTTGCGGATCAAGTACACAGAGCACGTTTATTCAGTACGAGTATTGCGGATGAAGCGTTGTACATGCAGGAAGCTTAATCATGATCAGGATGGAGGTTTGGGTTAAACAAACAGAGGTTAATGATTGGTCACTGTTTGTAGACCTCCCAATCCTGGCGTGCAGGCATGCGATGACGTGTCCCACCTCCCAATCCTGGCGTGCAGGCTGTCCCATCTCCCAGTCCTGGCGTGCAGGCATGCGATGACGTGTCCCACAAGGCTGACGTGTCCCCACAACCTGGTCTCGAAACTAAACTGAAAAATATTTTTCCAGGTTCAAACCTTGATCCTTGTTTAGCATAGTTATTCAATTAAGACATTCAATGATGAATGAATAAATCAAAATGAATGGCCATTTGCCCAAGTCACGTCTTGAATGTGACTGTCAAATGAATATCTTAACAATTTCCAACAGTACTTCCAAAGATACCACATGAATTAATCCGTCTCAGTTATTTTTAATTTCTGCAAACAACTCATCAAATCGATGAGGAACAT